TAACATGGCTGCTGCTTTTTTCCGGCTTGGGGATAAGCCGGAGAAAAGCGCCAGTCTAGACGTCATTCTCCGGAAAATAAGCCCTTTTCCGGAGGATTTCTTATTCCTGCTTTCAAGTAGGAATGCATGTTTGCTTTGACAAAAGAGTAATAAGAGCTTCATAATCTAAAACCTGTTTCTGAAGTAATTTGAAAACACTTTTGATCTATCTAAAAACAGTGTAGTGATAAGAATCATGTGATCTTGAGACTATTATGCCCTGTTACTCATCCTTGTGGATACTAATGATACTTCAAAGTATAACCCTGAGCAGATCAGGAGTGACGACAATACTCTGGAAATAAGGTTGAAGGAGTCTGGGCATTCCGTTCAGACATTCCACATAAGGGTAGATGCCCAGAATGACACAGCTACATCCTGGAGATGAATGGATGGTTACCTACCAAATGCCCATCTACAGGAAGCCCCTACCCCGGGCTTCCTGGAATCAGCCGCTGAACAGTTTCAGCAGCAGCTGACTTGAGGATGCCTGGGGTTCTTAAGTTGAATCTGTATGTAAGTCAGAACTGGCGTCCAGATTCAGCCGCTGTTGAAACTGATCAGCTTAAGAACAAACCTACAGTCCCTATCTTGTACGTAACCCGGGGACTGCCTGTATATGCATATTCATCATTTACTTAATGAATATGCAAATAAATATTACTGATCCTCCAAAAGCTCGCGAATGGATTTACTGGTCCCCAATATCAAAAAGTTTGGGAACCCATAAACTACAGCATTCAGTGAACGTATCTGCATTGTCTTTTCCTTCAAGAATCATTAATTCACCCGTCAGGAGGGGCCCATATGTTCCCCTCTCTAAAATTAATCTATTTGCATAGGAAGCTACAGAGCTTGAGTAATATTTGAAGATTCCCTTTCCTGGTCCTTCACACTCATCCATCTCCTTCCAAATGAACTATCAACTCTTTAAAATATCCAGCTACCAACATGTTACTTTCATTCTAATATCAATGTTAATATTCTAGGTTGCCTGAGGGGATGCAGTGATCTGTATCTCAATAGCTGTCATCTAATATATATTACACACCTATATATATATTATAACTTTTTTCCAACCTTTTAAAAATGTCTTCCTGATAGGATTTTTGAAGTCAGCTCTCCATGATGAAGAGTTCAACACAAACTTACAAGCTGGAAGGCCACGATCACTGTTAACACCTTGAATTCACCTGAGTATGCACAGCACACTGTACTACCAGGCACATGGCCTGCATGATTCACTCTGGCACATAGGGAGGTAACTGGTTAGCATTACCAGCACACTTATCCGTTAACTGGTTAACAAGAGAGCTGGGTGCAGCCAGGCCAGCCCCCACCTGCAGCACGGCAGGCCCAGCCAGAGTAACCCCTCACCTGTGGCAGACTAAAGAATCCTCTGCCCCTAGCCAGCTGGCCAGCAAGATCCTCTGACCAAGAAGGCCCCTGCTTACAGCAGCACCCATCAATGAATCCCATCTGCTCTGCATCAGCCCACCACGGTCAACTAATAAACATTACATAGTTCAACCAGTTAACTTTAATGGCTAGAGACATCTCTAGAATTAAAGTTTAATTCAGTCTCTTTGTGTGTATTCATTTATGATATCATTGTTGAGTATATGATCACAAGGACCCTGCCTCATTCAAGATGAAGTAAAACCTGTGCTATCCGGACCTTAAGTATCCAGAAAACTATAGAAACCGACACATTTTTGACACCGAGAAAAGCACACAAAATAGGAAACTGGCCCTTTAAGTGCTCCTCAGATGAGTATACAGCACCTACCTGGGGGATGGGCGAATGGCACTTGGAAGAAAGCATCTCAGTTTATACAGCATTTTATATATTCCAGCAGAGCCTCTAGAGATTTCAAGTTGCAGCTGAGAATGCTCAGCATATGTGTGAATCAGACCAAGAATCTCAACTCAGGTGTAGTAAGTTGAGAATTGGTAACATGGACTCAGCAGGCCTGAATAAAGGCCTGTAACATAAAAACAGCAACAGGCCTGGAATCTAGTGAGCAAGACTTTGGTTCAGTAAGTCGGCAACCAAGAAAGAGGCCCTATTGATAATTGTATGATTGCGTAAGTTAGGTTGAGCATGGAACAACATATGGAGGCACCGGATACAAATTGTAAGACAGAGGGGAGTAGCAAAACATCTCAATAAGAAATGTCTTGGTATCAACCGACTCCCCAAAAACTAATGTACATACTGACCTAGGTTCAGGACCAGGTCAAAGTAGACAGCATGAAGGATAGGAAGTAAGCCCCCACTTCTGTAAGGTGAAGGATGGTAACTAGGTAACAGAGGGTGGCAACCTGGTATTAAAGTGATGTAACTTGTCTGTACATGTTTCTAAAAGGGCACCGCAAAGGATGAGTGCCGACCAACCCTGGATGGGGGAGGGAGGCGCTATATGTGCTTTTATGTGGGGGCCATTATTAATGCTTACAGAATGCACAGTGGCTTAGCGTTGAGACAGTCTGCTAACAACTGTTAATGTATGTCATTTGGTAACAACCTGCTCAACTGATTTCATCCTTGACTGAATCTGGCATTTACAGGGGCTCTCAGAGGTCTACCGTGTTGACCCAAGAGAAAATGTTTAATGCTTTAGAGGGAACACACCCACACACCTGAAAGTTTATCACCACGGATGGAGTACAGGACCTGTCAGGAACCCACCGGGACAACGCCAGAAACCCTGACTGATAACATGAGGTGCACAGAAAATGAGGAACCCAGTTAGGAAGCACCTGTACAGTGACTTGCCCAGCATCACAAAGAAAGTCTGTAATAAGGGTAGTAATAGAATCCAACTCCTGAGGACAGCATTTAACTGCCTCAGCCATGAAACCACACTGTCTCTTTCCTGTACTTCCCTGCCTCATCCACCACACACCTTCCAACTTGCGCAACAACTGCTCGCCTGTTGTGGTAAGACAGACCCCCACATAGGGACCTTTTTTTTTTAATTTTATTGTTTGTGCTGTGTGTTTTGTACCACTGAAGAATACATAAATGGCAGTGGCAAGTCTGCCACCTCAGAGAGATGCAAGGATGAATACATAAAAACTGCAAGGTGCTCAGTTCTCTCTCAGCAATCCCTATCATGATAGCTGAGATACCTAAAACAGATGGACTAAAGGAGTAAAAAGCACAGTGTGCCTTGAAGCCATGACATGGATTTTTCTATCACTAAGAGATGGATTAAAAACCAAGGACATTTGAGGCATACAATTACTTTTATATTTTTTTAAATTATATTGATTTGAAGACTACATTTTCTGGGCAAATTATTTAAGATCAGCAGTCATATTTGCCAGTTTTCAACAAGAACTTTTTTTTCCTTTTACAACTTTGAGAAGCAATTTGTATTTTTAACATGCTCTATATTAGCTCCCAGAAGAAAAGTCATGGCACAAAGAACTAGCAGTATGTCTATGGTCCTTCAATCAAAGGAACTGTCAGTTAATTAAAGAAGAATGTATGTAATCCCATCTCCACTGTGGAAAACAGGATGACAGAGAGATACTTGTCTCAAGTCCTAAAACAAGATCATTATTTCCCAGTGGTATATAATTTTACATTTAAAAAATGATCATATTTAGCAGTTCCAAGTACATCTGCCTTAGCAACAGTTGGCAAGGCAGTTATTGTAACAGACGTTCTATTAAACAAACATGCCTTTGCAGGGCTATGTTATAGACAACTTACCCGTTGAGCCCTTTCCTTTAATTCTTGTTCTTGAGCTAAAAATGCCTGCATCTTCTTTTGGACATCTATAAGCTTTTCAGGGTTGATTCTGATTAAAAAAAAGTAATAACTTTACCTTTAAAAATATATATTAAGAAGCCCATAGAAAGTTCCCAGGAGTACTTTTTCATTCCATCCATATTATTTTAAAATGCATAAAATTATTTGTTATTGTGAGCAATGTTTGACTGAAATCATAAAGACCAATCTCCTTAAATGAATAACATAGGCACAACAAACAAACTCAGACCCTTTATATTTTTATTAAAATACTTCTTTAGTGTATAAAATTTAGAGAATGAAGTCAAAACAGAGAAGGGGAAGATTTCACAGCATTTTTCAAAGCTTAAATAAGACTCAATACACCTGAGAGGTACCTGCAAAGTATTTCACTATTATATCCGTTGGACAGATGGGTAAAACTAAAGAGAATTTAGATTACATGACTTAAAAGTATCCCAAGATCTGGACTTAATGAGGTAAAGTCACAACTGCTTTGTTATAGAAGTCTCCATTACAGACAGTGAAGAGTATCAGCCACCTAACAAATTGCTTTGCTTTTCTGTTCTTATTCAAACTATTTATGTTTGATCATTTAGTCTCTGCATTGCACTCCTTTTCCATCTAGCTCTGTTCCTAGATATCTATACCTCCCAGACTTTTGAATAGCACAGTCAGATATGCTTCAACAAGTAAGGGAAAATTGTCTTTTGACAAACTTCACTATTTAATTCAAGAGGTTCTAAATTCAAATTACATTACTATGTGCCATCTGTTTATGCAGCACTGTACAATAAATTATAAGCCCTGCTGTGACAACCTTGCTACCAAGAATCAGACACTCAGTATAGTGGTTCAATCTGTCTGAGCAACAAAGCTTTGAAAAAATCCTGTGCAAGAAATAATATACACTAATTTCTTCTCCAGTAAGGTATTGTTGCAATTAGTAATTGTGCATTTCTTTTGAAATTAAAGATACTAATTTACAATGACATCTGACCTTTGAGTCACCATCTTAATTTCCACTCTTTGGCAGAACTGAGGAGTAGAAAGCTGCAATGTAGCCAAAAGCTATTTCCAGATTATACATACACCAACTCACTGTAATTTTAAACAAAGGCTGCATAGCAGGGTGGCGTAAGATCCAAGCAGGCATAAATACTAATTTGGTTTGCATATGTAAAGGTATAAAATAAGGACATGAAAGTGAAATCTTTTACACAGTCTGGGCTTATCAGTTAATATGTGAGGTTACACACAGGTCCCCTTCCGCCTCTGCATCATGCCTGTCTCCCACACACACTGCTGCCTCTGTATCAGAGGCAGCGTGGCGGGAGGGAGGTGGGAGTCCGTGCTTGCAGAAAGATGGCATAAAAGCTGCCCATGCACACTGGCTCAAAAAGAGCTGACTCCCCTGCCATTCTCCTCTACATGTAACTGCAGAAATTTTCAGCGGTTGTACGTTTACTTGAATAAACATATTTTAACATCCCTAGTACAAAACAGATGTCATTATAAAGAAGTTGATTCACTGAATCATTCATAGAAATCAAATTAAAGACATGAAAACACTCTTTTATCCAACTGCAAGTAAATCATGCTACAGTAAAACTCCATTACTCCGGCATCCAATGCTCCGGGACTCCTGATGGTCAGGCACCATCAGGAACCCGGAAGTGCTGGGGCAGCCGGACAGGCTTCCCCCATTCAGCTGCTGCTGAAACTGACCAGCCTGGGGCAGAGCAGCTGGAGTGCTGCCGGGTTGGTCCCGCAGCGCCAAAGGACGGCGATGCGGGACCAACCCGGCAGGACCCCAGCTGCTCTGCCCCAGGGGTCCCCAATTCAGCTGCTGCTGAAACAGATCAGCGGCTGATTCCAGGAAGCCCGGGGCAGAGCTGCTCAGGGACATTCCTGGTTGCTGTTCATCAGGGAGTGAGGAGAAAGTATAGTTTGCTGCATTCTTCAATCTGGCTGGGGAATACAGGGAGCAGATGGAGCTGGA